ACATAGTTTTAATTGTAATTTAAGTGCAGATGTTAAAAATATATTGGATATTTTTAATTTTGAAAAATAGATAAAACAATTATAGAACAAACAAATCAATCCTAAAATTAAGGAGGGGTTAAAATATTAGATTTTATTGTTATTTGGTTATTTAAAAAAGCTTAAAATTAATATTGTTGGATTAAATAGATTTTGTTAGTATTAAATAGATTTTGTAATGAATTAAATAAAAATCATAGGTTTTAAATATTCTAGTGGCATATCTGTAAATATTGTAGATTTTGACCCGCTCTTTGAAAGTGCTAGATTTCGTTTTTGTTAATAAAACTATTAATCTGTTTGTTAGTTTATAATAAAAATGACAAATATATTAGTTTAACCTCTTTATACTTGATAAATATTTTGTGACCTAAAGCAAATGACAATATTAAAGAAATTTTAGCTTATTCCCATATATATATATATATATCAAAATGAATTTTTGACCCGTATACAATGCAGAAATGATAATGATAATTGTAGTTAATATGGTATGTAAAAAATAATGATTTGGAATGTATAAATAAAATAATATCTTTTTTCTATTTAATTTTATTTCAAATTAAAAGACACTATTCATTTAAATCAATATGAATTGTTACAATTTTGAAATNGTCTACCTAGTAAGACTTCTTAATGGTAGATAAAAATGGTACTTCTCTTTTAATAGAGAAGATATAGACTATAATTATAAATTTATTAAAAATATCAATCTATTTTATTTTTAGGTTATAATAAAATTTAATTAATATAATTTAAACTAATATTATGTTACTTAATTACGAATTAATTAATGCATTATTTAATAAAAAAAATATTTAAAATGTTTAGTAGGATTTTTTTTAGATTTTTCTCAACAGATTTCTTTATAACTAAAAATATAATTAAAATTAATAATTAAAATTAATAATCAAAATTGATTTATTATTAATATTTTATTGATTATTATGTTATATTATGAAATTAATGAAATGGACCTAGTAAGACTTCTTAATGGTAGATAAAAATGGTACTTCTCTTTTTTATTATACATATATACTTTCACATTATTGTTAGCGAAAAAGATGCAATTATAAATGTCCAAAAGATTATTTTTTCCAGATCATAATTGAGATCAAAATACATACCTAAAGCTGAAATAAAATAAAGAAATTATAGCTTATGAAAAAAAATTATAGTTAGCTATAATAAACTTCGATGTTGATAAAACTCGATGCAAAAAGATAAGAAACATCAAAACTCCGATGAAAACTGCACCTATTTTCGGCCATATCTGTTCCTTGGTTTGATCCAGATAAACATGTGAGATCACAAAGCACAAACTGAAGTGAGAAAACAATATACCAAAAGACACCATGAATTCTGGAAAAAAATTGAAGTTACATGAAAGTTATCGAGGTGATCAATTACATCGCTTCCATTCTTTAAACTTTTTATTTCTTGTATGAGCTATAACCTCCTTCGATTCCTGTGATCTGGATGGACACACATCACTATGTCAATGTGGTTACCATCAAACATGAAATTTAAATTAACATGATAACACAATTAAATTAAGCAAACAATTTGGCAAACAAATAACTAACACAAAAAAATTCACATATAAGTCACGAATCTCTTTTGATTGTAGCCATTATCCCAGTCTCTGTTAGACCTGTATAAAATCACAAGTATGACGTTTAAATTAGAACTATAATTTGTTGGAAAAAAGAACAAAAAAGCTATGAAAATGAAAAGCGGATGTGTCGATTATTGAAATGAGAATACCTTTATATAATGAGTTGAAGATGATATTTTGTTTAGCTTGCAACACAATTTACGATGTTAAAGTTTATTACCTTTTGAAACTAAGTTAAATAATAAGATATTATTGTTAAGTATTTATTATAGAATATATGGTAACAACAATAGATTCTTTAGAGATTCACGTTAGTAGTTAGTTGTAGATAAGAATAATATATTTCTAATGAATACCAGTTTGATCTGCTAAATTATATTTAAAACCTTGAAATTCAGTTAATGTGTGTTAATGAAATTTGTTAAATCATTATAAACTGTATGCGTTAAAATCTAAATTCATTATAAAATGTATGTGTTAAAATTAGCCGTGTGTTTTGTGATCTTGCGGATCAAGTTTATTCAAAATATGGTAGATTAGATTTTATTGTTTTAATTATATAGATTTAAGTTACTCAATGCTGCGATTTTTATGTTATGATTGGTTGTTACTGATATTTTAAATATATGATAATACTTAGATTGCTCAGCTATTTACAATCTACTATATTTGTTTTTTAATTTAACAACTTACCGAGATTTTAGTTTATTTGAGTAAAGTTTAGTTTTTATTTATTTATTTAATTATATATATATATATATATATAATTATTGATTTGATTATTCTATGAATAGATTACAACTTTAGTTAAGATTGCACAAACATAATTTTATGCTAAGAAGGATATTTTTTTTATTTAAGAAAAAAATTTCGACTTACAAAACAAATTTGTTAAATTCGTTATGGTTTGGAATCGGTTGCGATATCATAATCGTAGAAAAAAATTATTCGAAATGCTAGAATCGGTATATTCTAAAGAATTAGCATAAATAAAACAAAATATGCAGAGGATTACTCGTAATTATGTATTATTAAACATATACGTCGATTCATCATTTTAATGAGATAGTAATGTTTGTATGTACATTAATTGATATAATCGTATGCACATTTATTTCGTAATATGGATGGAAGGATGTGTTTGATTCAAAACGTACATGACAAATATATATGTGTTATATCATGCAAATATATAGGCAACGTTATCTCGAAAGCATATATAAATAAATGAAAAGGGTTATATTAATTAAATGTGATTTTTGCTGCATAAATAAAAGAAAAACAGAAAACATAATTAAATAAAAAGTATTGTTTTAGAATATTCTATTGGGTCAAACCCACTTGCATCGGGTAAAACCGCTTTAATACAAAGCATAGTTTAAAAAATTATGCAGTGGTATTGTTCTGTAAATATTGTTGAAACAGAAGGGCGCCTGAAAAAAGGGTCTTCTGTTTTAATAGTATAGATAATCCAATAAATTATCTTCGAAAAATAGTTAATGAAGAAATACAATTCCTAGTCTTTAGAACCATCTATGTGTTTCTTGTTCCATAAATTTCAACCATTCTCTTGTGTTTACAGGAGAAATATTTATTCTGAATCATGAAAATGACAAGAAAGCCGCCAACATGTAAACAAAAATTGAGTACTAAATTATAGTTAATTATTAATAATATTGAGTACTAAAATGTAATATATAAAGTTCTGAGAGAAAAATTTTAAAGGGCATGGTTGGAGACTTATCTCTTTATCCTTTTATTTTTAGTGGATCGCTCTTTTAAAATATAAAATACTAGGTGACTCATCCACACCTTGTGCGCGAATAAAAATCGGCAAAATTAGTGTTGGCATGCTTTGATCATATGTAGTGCAAAAAAACAAAGGCCGGATATCAACATCAACATTGTTTGTAGATATTATTTTTTGTTGTAGTATTAATAGTTCAATCTATATTCAGCATTAATACATTGATAGTCATAATGGTAATGAAAGTTCTAATCGGTTCCTAAATGACAATATGTCAAAAATATTTATCGGAAAGTTAGCAAAGAGAATCTTATCATGTTGCCTGGATAAGACAATGAAAAAAATTAGTTCATATACTTCACTCATATTAATGATATCTCTATTATTATCTACTCCTTAAGAACAAAAACTGATGTAGTAGTAAGGGTGTTCAATCTGGATTTTGGTTCGGTTTGTTTTTTTGATTTTTTGGTATTTTGGTTTATAAAACAAACTACCATATTAAAACCATATAGACTTTGTTTGGGTTCGGTATATATACCGTCGGTTTTCGGTTCTTTCAGTTTTACACCAAAAATCATAAATATATTTATCTTTTATAACATTTGTGAATTTTACTTAATATGATTAAATACCAAGTTTAAAACAGAAAAAATATTTATGTTTTAAAATAGACTATTATTATATTATTTTTATTTAAATATTTAGAATAATTAATAAACATATTAAGTTAATAATAATAACAATTTTCAGAAATAAAATAGGAAAAATAGTAAAAATATCTTTATATTATTAAATAACTAAATATTTGTACACATATTTGTCAACTAAAAAGTAAAACTTGTTTGGTATAATCTGATAAAAATGAAAAATAAATTTTAACTTAAAATAAAATATTAAATTTCTAAATCAATTTTGTAAGTATCATATCAATAAATTTACGACCATACCTGACCGTTGTCTAAGACATCTTCATATTTTTGATCAGTTTCAATTGAAGCATAAATTCTTGTCACATGTTTGAACATTAAAAGATTTATGTGGATCAGTTAAAAAAATAAAATAAAGTACCATGCAAATATTTAGTAGAATTAGTAGCTATGAAAAACATTACAATCCAAAATATATTTAAGGAAAAAATAAAATATTATTAAAAATGACTTTGCCATATAAAATTTGAATTAGTAATAATAACTATCTACTTTCTTATCGACGAAATCATTTTAATGATTTTTTTCTGGTTTCTTTGTTAAAATTCATCAACAAGTGAATGATCTTAACTTCGATACACCATGTTTCTTTAAATTATTTTTAAGTCTTTAGCATAAGAGAACAAACACATTTTTTTATGTCTAACCATTGCCATTATAATTTTTAATTGATATATCAAAAGAGAGAGTTATTTGTATTATAAAATCTTGGTGACCAGAATTATACACTTAGAACTTTGATGTTCTCTTTTCTTTGACATCAAAATATTATTCAATTATTCAAACTTGAGATGGTCGAAGAATTCAGACGGGAATAGAACAATCAATAAAAATTGAATTTTTATAGAAAGCTCGAGTTGTCTTGGATAATCTATCTGCTATCCGGTTATGGAGCCACTAAAGTGACTTCTCATTTAATATATAGTGGGATGAGAATATGATATTTTAAATATAAAAAGTACTTTAATCATTTATAAAAATGAAACTCACCTATAATATCACATTGTCAATTACAATGATTAAAAGTTTTTAAAATTATATATTTGATTGTTTTGCATTCATTTGACACATTTTTATAATATATATATATAGTGAGTAGAAATATTATTAGTTCTATTTATTAGTTTTCTGTAATCTATGATTTATTGTATACATTATAAATATAATATTTTTAAAACCGTTTATATAATTTTTTATGTAGTATCATATGTATTTAAATTTATATTATAAATTTATATAACTTAATCTATGATAATCAATTGTTTCAACAAAAAAAATATACTAATTCATTTAAATTTAAGATGTTTGATTGTTTATTTGGTAACATCTATTATATTAGGTAACTCTATGATTAGTTTTCTTTTAAAAAACATGATTTAAATAAATAAAAATTCAAATATCAACAACCAATCAAATTAAAAGAATTAATTCTAAACTTCACCTATGAGTGACACCTAAACAAAAATCACAAAATTTTTTTTTTTCTTTTTTTTCAAAAAAAAAACAAATGTCATTAAAGTGACTTCTCATTTAATATATAGTGGGATGCTCTAAAGAAAGTCTTTGCTTGCTGATAAAGTTTTAAATTTATACATTTGGGCCGTATGGGCCTTTTGCTACATACAGCATACAACAAAAAGGCTTGAAACGGAAGTCCTAATGTATATTTCCCTGCGTAAACACTGTCGTTTTGGCAGTGTTTCCACCTTTGATGTTCATCTTTTGATTTCGGGACTTTTTTTCCGCTCCAGATTTGAAATTGAAGGCAACAAGAAACTCTGATTTCTCGATTGCTCAAGGTGGTTTTTTTTTTTTTTTTTTTCTTTTATAACCCGGACGAAATCGAGTAAGGTTAATCTCAGAGGAGCCTTAACTTTCTAATTCTGAAACCGAAATCTTTGTCGTTGCTGAAGCTTTTCGTGTTCAGATTTTCTAAAGATGGATCCGGATGCAGTAAAGTCGACTCTCTCGAATCTGGCTTTCGGAAATGTATTGGCCGCAGCTGCTAGAGATTACAAAAAGGTTATTTCTTTTTCTTTTTCTATTGAGTATTTGCTTTGAATCCATCATATCCGCTTCTCTCAATGTTTTTGGAAAATGTATACGATTATAAATTCTTCGTTTTTAGCATATGTTCTTGGTGGGTTTCTTACTTTATGCATATTAAATTCAGACAAGGGGTTGTTGATTTGTGTTACCAAAATGATTCATCCGCGTTATGTCTGTAAAAGTAAAAAGGTGTAGACTTTAGGAGTTTCTTATGTTCTGACACAAAGATTTGTAAGTTTATGATGTTTTATGTTCTTAATACTGATGTGTGTGCAGGAAGTTCTTGCAAATGAGAAGGCGCAATCATCAAATCCTGTCAATGAAGAGGTTGATCTTGATGAACTTATGGATGTAAGTGCAAGTTGTTTCTTGCTACAATCTTTATCCTATCTTGAAAGCTTCTTTCTCTAACGGTAAAACTCATGTTTTGTAGGATCCAGAGTTAGAAAAGTTGCACGCTGATAGGATTGCAGCACTCAAGGTGATAACTTTTTTACCAATATAGTTATGCACTTGTTTAATAGTATGAGCTAAACCTCTATCTGTACAGAGAGAAGTTGAGAAGAGAGAAGCGTTCAAAAGACAAGGACATGGTGAATTTCGAGAGGTAAGCGAGGGAGACTTCTTGGGCGAAGTCACCAGGAGTGAGAAAGTCATATGTCATTTCTACCACAAGGAGTTTTACCGCTGCAAGTAAAGATCTCGCATCATCTTCTTTTTATTGCTTTAATCTTCTGATATGTGAGCTCATACAAAACATTTATATAGGATTATGGACAAGCATCTGAAGACTCTTGCGCCTAGACATGTGGACACTAAGTTCATTAAAGTGGACGCAGAGGTCAGTGACCCACTTGATTAAAGGAAAAATGGTTGTGATTGTGAATCTAATGCTTAGGCTGACATAAATGCAGAATGCTCCTTTCTTTGTCACGAAGCTAGCAATAAAGACCTTGCCTTGCGTTTTGCTTTTCAGGTTTTTCATCTCTTCCGATTCATTCTTACGTTACATGGTTGGTAGCTAGGTTTTATACTGATAGAGAATATGGCTTTTTTTTTAATCATTCTTCTCAGCAAGGGAATCGCGGTAGATAGGCTAGTTGGGTTCCAGGATCTAGGCACAAAGGACGATTTCACTACGACTAAGCTAGAGAATGTTCTTATTAGAAAAGGTATGGATTTCTCAACCACCTTCTTCAGTAATACAGCTCAGAGAGGGTTATTTATTTTCTAAAATGTGCAAACAATTAAACAGGAATGCTCAGCAAGAAGAAGAAAGAGGAAGATGATGAGGATGCTGAATACCAAGAGAGCATAAGGCGTTCGGTTAGGTCTTCAGAGAATCTGGACTCTGACTCTGACTGATCAACCAGCTTACATCACTGATTTGCTCGTCTCTGTTTTGTCTTTTGCTTTTTTTTTTTTTTGTTATATGTTATTAGAAAAGTGAACTTTGATATAATGTCCAGACGGTTAATGGTACATGACACTGTATGTTGCTATATGTAATGCACCAATTTTATTGTTGCTGATACATAAAAATTTGAACAGTTTGCTTAAAAAAATCTACCATAAATCAGGTCCTATCTGTGTGGTGGTGTTTGCGTCCACACTCCTCTAAAGCTGACATCTTCGATTGGGAAAGTCTCTAGCTCTGGACACCAGTTTACGTGCACGGTCCTAGGGTACGGCATTGACAATTGGAGCTCTTCCCAATCCATGTCTAGTTCCGAAAAGGATAACATCAAACCGTTGATTCTCTACTGTGTTATAGAGTGAGGTGAGAAAGCATGATATAAGGTGAGAAGGGAGTTTGTGAACGCGCAACTGAAGAAAGGACATCACATTGATTGTCGATTCCAGAAGTGTTTCCTCTCAGTTCACCGAGAAAATACTCTGCTATTCATGGTCTTTGCGCAGAAGTAAATCACCAACTGCTTTGACTGTCAGCGTTAAGCCTTCGCATTTTGGTTTCATTCTCCTTGCCAACATCATCTAGCTTGAGACGCTCACAAGCACTTTTGTTTTCTGCAAATGCCACTTTACAAAACAGCAGCCAGCTGTTATCAGCACTCTGGATGGTGAGTTTTGTCTCTCGCCTAAAGATTTACAGCGACATGTTCTGATCTTCTGGTCACGATAATCCTTCCACCTTGTCCTCTAGGCAATTCTTGGTAGATCTTGTCCCATACATCGTCCAGCGTGATCACTACATTCTTAGTTTTCAATAATTTAATCAAATGCTTCTCAAAATCTTAGGACTAGATTGTAAGAGAATCTGGATACTGTAAATAGCAAGTTCGATTGTTGACTCTGCAAGTCTTTCGAGCTAACTTTATTTAGTGAGCTAATTAAATGAGTTAATCCTTTTTTATATGTGCCGTTTGATGGTTTGGTGACTCTGGTCCATATCATGAGCTATGTAGCTTTTCATGTGTCAGCAGCGTTCTATCTGGATCCATGTCTTTGCTTATTAATTTTAAAAGTTATATCAACCCAAAATACACTATCAGTAAAGTAATGCATTTATGTTATTTAGTTAATCCTCTTCCTCATGTTTGGCCTTGTCTTCGACCAAACCATCAAGAACCATATCAACACGATCATTCCTCAAAAGCTATTCATCTACCTCTACGTTTTTCTTGACCTCCAAGTCTTTGCCTTTAGTGGTCTTTTCCTTGTTGTCCAATTTTTGCTCTTCCTTCTTAGCCTCATTTTCTTCATTCTCGATCTTTTTTACTTTCAAGAACTCAATCAGACCCTCAAGAATCTTATCAACAGTGTCATTCCTCATGAGTTGTTCAGCAATCTCTGCTGGACTAACCTGAGTTGCCTCAATACCTTCATCCACCTTGCTGAAAAGCTTATTGACAAACTATATGTTTGGAATCAAAAGTTGAAGTTTTATTAATGAATCGATGAGTATATACTCATAGAATAGAAAAGCCAAAGTAAACATGGAATATGAAAGACTAATAGTTATCCTTATCATAAACTAAATAGAAATCTTTATCCTAAGATATTTAGGAGTTACTACTCCAATACACCCCTTCAAGTTGGAGCATGAATGTTGTTTATGCCTAACTTGAGAAGAAATGCATCAAACTCTTTACGTCCAAGAGCTTTAGTTAATATGTCTGCAAGATGATCATGAGTAGACACATAAGCTGTTCAAATGACTCCCTTAGTTTTTTCATCTTGGACAAAACGGCAGATAATCCCCATATGCTTAGTTCGTTCATGTAGAACTGGGTTAGCGCTGAGATGTAAAGCTGACTTGTTATCACATCGTATAAGCATTGGCTCCGGGTGACCAATATCAAGTTCTCGGAGTAGTTCTTTAATCCAAATGAGTTCCTTAGTCATTGCCTCCATTGCACGGAACTCAGCTTCAGTGGATGAAAGAGATACACAATCTTGTTTCTTTGTCTTCCAACATATAGGTGAATTTCCATACTGAACAATCCATCCTGTAAGAGATCGTCGAGAAACCGGACATGCTCCCCAGTCGGAGTCGCACCAGCCTGTTAGAAAGAACGTAGTGTTGGAACGAAACAGAACACCTTGTCCTATGGTCCCTTTTAAATAGCGAACAACTTTTAACACAACAAGCCAATGATCTTCTTGCGGTTTCTGCATAAATTGTGTTAGAATGTGGACTGAATACGCAAGATCTGGTCGAGTAGCTAATAAATAGATGAGTCTTCCTGTAAGTCGACGATACTTTTCTGGATCAGACAGAAGCAATCCATCAGCTTTTGCAAGTTTGTGATTTTGATCCATTGGTGAGCCAGCTGGTTTACTTCCAAGTAATCCACATTCTGTAATAACATCGATAGTATACTTTCGTTGGCATAGATAAAGTCCCTGAGGTCCTCTAGCGACTTCTAAGCCGAGAAAACACTTGAGAGGCCCCAAATCTTTCATATAAAAGCAGGTTGATAGATATGCTTTAAACGCCATTATTGCTTTTGAATCATCTCCGGAGATGATCAAGTCATCAACATATACGAGAATGCGAAGTGATACCTTATGCCGTGAATAGACAAATAGAGAATGATCTAAGTGGGTCTGAGAGAAGCCATACTTGAGTAGAGCTTCAACAAGTTTTGCGAACCAACACCGTGGCGCTTGTTTCAAGCCATACAATGACTTACGGAGACGAGAAACTCGATTGTCATTAGGGTTATCAAACCCCAAAGGCATTTTGATGTAGACTTCATCATGAAGATCCCCATGAAGAAACGCATTATGTACATCCATTTGATGTATCTCTTGATTTTTCTTTGCTGCAATATCGAGAAAGTCTCGTACCGTAGTCATTTTAGCCACCGGCGAGAATGTTTCTGTGTAGTCTAGACCTTCTTTTTGATTATTTCCTAACACAACAAGGCGAGATTTATGGCGTTCTACTGCTCCATCAGCTCGGAGTTTAATAGTGAGTTCCAAGAGCCTTCTTCCCTGATGGTAATGTTTGTAGATCCCAGGTATGATTTCGTTCAAGAGCATCGATCTCTATTTTCATTGACCGTCGCCATACTTCTGATCGCATAGCTTCTTTGAAGTTCTTAGGCTCAATATTAATTGTTAGAGCAACAATATAATTGCGATGGGAAGTAGAAAGACGATCATATGACAAGTAATCAGATAAGGGAAAAGTCGAACCTGAGGAAGGCTGAGGCGCGGATGATGGAAGAGAAGGAGTGAAGACGGGGATTGTAGTGACGGCATTAAGGACGTAGTCGCGTAGACGAGATGAAGGCATTCGTGTGCGTTGACCGCGTCCCATGTTTTCAGCTTCTGAAATCGACTGTTATGTTGCTGTAGTAGTTGATGTCTCTGTTATATTCTCATGAGTTTCTGTCTCAGTATTGTCTATTGTTATGTTAGTACCAACATTCTCTGTTTCTGAACTTTCTTCAGTGACCGTATGGGTCATAGATGGTTCTGTAATCACAATCTCTTGGGTTGCTGTACTCGTTTTTGTTTCAGAATATGGAAACACATCTTCCTGGAATTCAACATCTCTTGAGATAAACACTGTTTCTTGCTCCAGATCAAAGAGTTTCCACCCTTTGGTTCCAGAAGGATATCCCAAAAGTATGCACTTTCGGCTACGTGAAGCAAACTTATCACCCTTTGTATTTTTATTTTGTGCGTAAGCTAGACAACCCAATATGCGGAGATGAGAGAGACTCGGAGGCTGGCCATGAAGTATCTCATACGGAGTTTTATTCTTGAGCAACACCGATGGTGTTCGATTGATTAGATGACCGGCTGTTAACACACATTCTCCCCAAAACTCTATTGGTAAGTTTGCTTGAAACCGTAATGCATGAGCAATGTTGAGAATATGTCTGTGTTTACGCTCTGCTCGTCCATTCTGTTGAGGAGTATGAACACATGATGTTTCGTGAACAATTTCTTGCTCCTTAAAAAACCGTGTGAGACACATAAACTCTGTTCCATTATCACTTCTTAGCGTTTTGACTTTCTTCGAGAATTGCCGCTCAATAAGAATCAAGAAGTCTTTGATTTGTTGAGAGACCAACGATTTGTCAGGAAGCAAATATAGCCAGACAGCTCGTGACTTATCATCAATTATCGTAAGAAAATATCGTGATCCACAAAACGCTGTTGTTCGGTATGGTCCCCAGACATCACAGTGGATTAAATCAAAATTTTCTTTTGCATTATTAGAACTATCTGGAAAAATAAGTCGAGTTTTTTTAGCTCAAAAACAAATATCACATGATTTGATGATTTTATCACTAGAAGAAGACGCATGGTGAAGGCCAGGAATCATACTAGTGCACCGAGAAGATGGATGACCAAGGCGGCGATGCCATAAAACTGAATCTTCAAGCACAGTAGTATGGAGCGACACGAATGCTTCAATCCCTCGAAACCGGTACAATCCCTCTCCTTCTCTTTCACCCGCTCCAATCAGCGTCCTCGAGGTACGGTCCTGCAATATCATCAATTTATCAGTGACTTGACCAACAAGAAAATGTTCTGTAACAAGTTGTCCAAACGAGATAAGATTCATGTTGAAGCCATTGACATAATACACATCTTTTATGTGTAATGTCGGAGTAAGCTGTACAGCCCCCTGTTTAGAAGCTGCCGCATTTGATCCTGTTGGTACTATGACTGATATAGGTTTAAAGTAGTGGATATTGTTCATTAAATCGAGCTGCCCGGTCATATGATGAGTTGCGCCTGTATCCAGCCAGGATCCAGACAGATTCATCATTCGTACCCTTTAGACGATCTATTGTTGCTCCATTGTTAATTAGCTTCTGGACTATACTCCATTGTTCATCAGTGATTCCGCTTAACCCTAGACGATCTGCATCCGTGATGGTCACGTTTGACTGAATTGTTTTTGGAATTGTGTACTGTTGCCGTATTTGCTTTTGGAAGTGTAGACCGATCTTGAGTGATATTGTTGTTGTTGTTTGTAGATTTTGTATTCCGATTAGTGTTGCGGTTTTTCGGCCTATCTTCCCACCATTCTGGATACCTAATAACTATGAAACATCCTGATGCCTCATGACATGTAAGTCCACAAGCCGTACACTGTCGAGTTGGGTCTCTGTTCCCAGGTCTTGATGGATCTCTTGTAGATGTTGTATTCTGTCGTGAATTATTAAAGGACCGAGATTGTATTGCAAAACTCATGACAGCTGGTTCTTGTGTATTTGTTGATCGAATGATTTCGTTTTGTGTGATAGTTTGATAAACACTATCAAGATCTGGAAGAGGAGATATAGCACAAATCTGAGATCTTATAACTCCATGCACGGCATCATCAAGACCTGCAAGGAAGTCGTGGACCTTCAGAGTTTCTGCCTCTTTTTCTCTTGATGTGTTTAGATCACATTCACACTTGCCACAGCTGCATTGTTTAGAGTTCATACACTCTGTGATTCCGTCCCATATTTTCGTAAGCCGTCTGAAGTAGTCATCGATCGAAGATCCTTCTTGTTTGCAATTTGCAAGCGCGATCCGTAATTGTTACAAACGAGCTCCACTTTTGATTGAAAAACGTTTCTTGATTATATCCCATAAATCTTTTGCAACTTCTCTAGTTGAGATTGAAGTTCTGATTTTTGGTTCAATAGTTTGTTTTATCCAACCTACAAGAAGATGATTGTTAGCTGTCCAATCTTCTAAGTAGGGTGAATCTGCTGCTGGTTTAGGAATAGTGCCGTCGAGAAATCCGAATTTCTTTCGTGAGCTAATATCCATACGAAAGTTGATAGCCCATTCATCATAATTTGATCCGTTGATGAGTGGTTGTGAAATCACAGCTCCGGGATTGTCATTAGATGATAGGTCATATCGTGAGATTTTCTTGTATTTGAGTTCGCCGGTTGCTTCTACAATTGACATGATTTGATTTTGTGTGATTGCAGAAAATTCTGAATGTTCTTTATTTCAAGCTGAGAAACCAAGAATTTTGTTGAGAATCAGAAGTATGTATTTGCGATTTGCAAAGACACTTGAATGAATGATTTTGTTTTTAGTTTTGTTCTTGCTCTGATACCAGACAAACTATATGTTTGGAATCAAAAGTTGAAGTTTTATTAATGAATCGATGAGTATATATACTCATAGAATAGAAAAGCCAAAGTAAACATGGAATAGGAAAGACTAATAGGTATCCTTATCATAAACTAAATAAAAATCTTTATGCTAAGATATTTAGGAGTTACTACTCCAATACTTATGCTCATTAATCTCTAAATAATTTAAAACAAGAGCTATGAAAGTAGTCGGCGTGCAATATGACATGTGGATGTGCATATCCATGCGTCCCGGCCTCAACAACGCTGCATCAAGTTTCTCTTTGTAATTCGTTGTGAATACTATAATCCTTTCGTCCCCGCAACTTGACCATAGACCATCTATGAAATTTAGAAGTCCATTGAGTGTCACTTTTTTGTAACATGGGTCATCGTCTGATTCCATAGGAGCTTCATCAGATGTTCTATCTTTTAAATCGATCGAACAATCGATATCTTCCACAACAAGAATAGAGCGGTTAGCAGTAGCAATCATCAATCTCCGGAGCTCAGAGTTGTTGTTCACTGCACTCAGCTCTAAGTCATATATATCAAAGTTGAGATGATTTGCCATGGCTGCTATCAAACTTGACTTCCCTGTACCTGGTGGACCGTACAACAAGTACCCTCTCTTCCAAGCTTTACCAACCTTTTTATAGAAGTCCCTTCGCTGCACAAACTGGTCTAGATCTTCCATCACACTTCTCTTGGCATTTGAATCTCTTCCTAACGTTTTGAAGGTAGAAGGATGATCAAGAATCACAGAGGTCCAAGCGTCTGAGTAAGTCCCATACATGTTCTCCGGGTCAAGAGTGAAGATCTTGAGAGTTTTCTTCTCTTGCTTCACCAACGTGGCTCTTCTGACCATGAAGGGTAAGTAAGACTCAAGAGTTCTTAAATTTCTTGTGGACGCTGAGCTCGAATGATCGTACTTTGGATTTGAGTGTATAGTTTAGATCCCGCGGATTATGGAAATTCTTGGACTCAACCTGGTGGCAATGGAGGATCCACCGGAACTTGACGCCGTTGAAGGTATCTATAACTTCCTCATCACGCTCTACGGTAACGTTGTAGTTGTTTTCTTTTTCGTGTTTACTAACTTTGATTCTTTTGTGAGAGGGAGAGATTTTGGTGGCTAGATAGGCCTCTGCGGACTCAAAGACTTCGTTGTGGACAAACCCTTCAAACTCTTCAATGATTATTGTCATCTGGGATGAGAGGTAACTAAAGAAAGTGCGGAAGCCATAGGCGATGTATTGGTGCACCTCGTCAGGCAAATAGTCTTGGACTAGTGATTTAGCTAGCATTGCGAATGCGGCCACCGAGGCTGCTGTTGTGAGAACCGTCTTAGCCGTGGCTAGACGAGACTCCGCGGAAGAAGATTCAGAGGAGCTCATTTTCTTTGTGGTGTCTTTGTTAGAGCTGTGTTCAAGCCAAGAACTCAAGAGTTTTATTATTGGTGGGAACCAATGACTTGGTCATGAGAAGGCCTTTCGGTTTTATCGACGAGAGAACAGAACGTGCGTCAAATGAAAATGAGAAAAATAGTAAACAAAGTCTGACTTGAAGTGTGGGTCATTCTTCTTTCAAAAAAAGTATTGAACAATATTGTAGGAGGTGGATTGCCTAGGCCCCACCGAATAACATGAATGGCCCTCTTAGAAATGATCTAGGCCGGCCCAAGCTGATTGCGCCTTGGCTTGGTCCAAACTCAGCCATCCCTGCGACTAAACGATAAAAAGGAACTGAGTGGCGCACGACTTAATGGGCCGACCAGAAATCCTATCGACGAGAGGCATCTTAAGGGACATTGACCTAGGTCACTGAGGAGGAGCGGAACATACTATAAAGGGAGAGAAGGAGACAACAAGAAAGACGATCCGAAATCGAGTACTTGCAAGGCGGCTAGAACTAGGGTTTTCACCTCTTTGTATCTCTCCGACTTGTACTTTAACGACTAAGCTCTCCGAGCAATGCCGTCTCGCCTCGTTTGTTTCGTTATTTGTACATCAACTCTCTCATCAATAAACTTACTCTTCCACTCATAAATAGTAAAACACCTTTAAAATAACCCCCAAGTTCTGTCACTCTCTTTACTGATACACGACCGAACTCGGTTCAAACCGTTGGCGCCCACCGTGGGGCATAACAAAGTAGCATCAACATAGGAATGAGTCCGCGTAACGATTCAACCTCCGGCGAAGAGGGGGACGCAGTAGCACCGACTCCGGCTACTGCTGTACCACTCGCTCCGACTTACATCAACTCCGTCATGGAGCGCTTTGCGCGCCAAGATGAAGCTCAGAGAGCGACCACCGAGACACTCGCCGCTATAGCAGCCATCCTCACGTCGTTTACCGAGATGGCCGCCACAAACCAACCTTTTCGCTGTTCAACACCGACCGAACAGAAAACCCTAATGACCAAGTCGCCCGAACGCAGGCCCAAGACGCCGAGGAACAAACCACCACCTCCGGTGCCCCAGATCTGCAAACTATCCACGAAATCGCCGCTCTCAAACAAGCCCTCCTCGACATAAACTCAAAAATCCATGGGGTCACAACCTCCATTCTGCTCATCAAAAGCTTCCTCGCGGATACTCTTTGAACGCAGTTCACTAGCAAAATAACCAACGTAAGGCTCTGCAAGATGGAAAAGATCCGCTTACCGACTTACGACGGTCTCTCGGACCCAACTGGCCACATCACGTTCTTCAATATCGCGATGAGGCGACAAAACTTCTCTAACGAAGAAAAAGACGCCAGCTTTTGTCAGCTCTTTGTCGAAAGTTTAACCGGCATGGCCCTCACATGGTTCACCGGCTTACCAGAAAAATCTGTCGACAACTTCCACAGCTTGTCGTCAGTGTTCCTCAAGAATTATATAATGTTCACGCGCGAGGAAGCCACCGCTTCAGATCTTTGGAACCTCTCCCAGTCACAGGAGCAGAGCCTTCGCAGTTTTATGGAGAAGTTTGAAGCCATCGTGTCCAAAATCAAAGTCTCCGACAGCATTGATGTGGACGCCCTTATGAACACCATGTACGTACACTCAAAGTTCTGAGATGATATGTACCGTCATCCGACTAAGTCCCTCTCCGACGCCATTACTCGGTCCAACAACTTTATCTGCATGGAAGGCGATACCAAAGAAATCATCAGCAAGCAGAACGCGACGAAGCAAGCGTCGACTAAGATTGGCAACACCCGTTCGAAACCACGACAGCACGCCCCCAGTGACAAAGTGAATCCAAAGAAAAGTTTCATTTACATGGTCAACGAGGATGACCTCCCGGGTTCCACAGTCGTGGTCCGAGGAAAGGGATGGAACCATTGGGATAGGGCTGACGACGAGCAAAAGACCTCAGGTGCACCTGAAGCGTCAGGGTCGAATCCCACGGAACCAGAAAAATACTGCTCCTATCACAAGAGCAAGAATCACGACACGAAGGAGTGAATCTTATACGAGCACTTCTTCTCGTCTATCGCCAGCGGAAAATTGGAGATTGAGCCTCCCAAAGCAAAGCCGAAAAGCAACAATTGGAGCAAAATTAAAGACAAGAAGGCTCAAAACTCTCAGAGAAAAAATCTCCGAGCCGAGCAGAAGACGAATACCGAGGAAACCGCTCCCAAAGCGAAAGAGAAAAGAGACTCGTCTGCCAACGAAGAGCAGCCGAGGAACCGACAAAGAGTCGAATGCACCGGTAGACGAAGAAACGAAACCTTCCCGAGAGGATCTACGCATACACCTTAACAAGTGACTTACCAAGAGGGATAGTCTAAGTTCTGTAGACCTGCGACGCAGACTGAAGCGAAGAAACATTGCAACGGAAACGGCAGCATCAAATTCTACCAAGGCAAGGGATAAGATCGCCATCCCGACGCTAAAGCAAGCCGGAATCACAGATGATCCAGATGCGTGCAGCTCTCCCCCAAACGGTATCAATTTGAGGAGTCATCTAAACTCAAAGGTCGGTGACCTCCACCTCAAACTCAGCAAGCCAAAAATCCCGGATCTGCGACAACAGCTCGAGGCGACCAAAAACAGCCAAAAAAAGCAGCCAACGGTTGCGTGCTCACCCTACGACCTGCGCTCGCATATCCAGAGCAAGCTAGTAAACGTTATCATGGGAGTCTCACCCCCATGTGGTGACTCGGTTCGTTTCGTCAAAGCTCATCAGCGCCAAGCGAAGACCTCGCAGAAGTGGCCGTCCATACCCGAGAACGATCCCTTGATCACGTTCTCAGCAGACGACGCTCTCGGAGTCCACATGCCGCACAATGACCCACTCCTCGTTGAGCTAGGCATCAGAGACTGTGAAATAACCAAAGTACTAATCGAGACCGGCAGCTCGGTCGATCTTATCTTCCAAAAAACTCTAGAAAAGATGGGAGCAGACTTACGTCTCATGAAACCATCCAACCACTCCTTAACCAGATTCAATGGAGTATCAGAGGAAATGATCGGCACTATCTGACTACCAGTCTACGCTGGCGGAGTTACTCGCATGGTCAAGTTCTCCGTTATTGCGACCAAAGCACCCTACCACATTATATTCGGCACGCCGTGAATCCACTCGATGAAAGCAATCTCCTCCACCTACCATCAATGTGTCAAGTTTCCTGGAAACGATGGTCGGATCAAGACGTTACGAGGCGACCAACACACGCGTGATCTTCTAGTCGCCAACATCAAGCTCCAACAACCAATCTCTCGGGTCAACGCAGTCGCTGCGCCCATTCATAAGATATACCCCCAAAAGGACGAGATCCTCGAAGTGCAGATAGATGATACTGACCCCAGCAAGATCGTACGGGTAGGTGCCTTCATCTCCGACGAAATGCAGGAAACGATCATTGCCTTCCTCAAGGAAAACACATCAAACTTCAAGTGGACCACCTCGGACATGAAGGAAATTGACCCGAAGATCACCTCGCACGAGCTCAACGCCGATCCCACCTTCAAATCCATCCGACAGAAACGTCGGAAGCTCGGTCCAGAACGATCAAAGGCCGTCAATGAAGAAGTCGAGCGACTGCTCGCAGCCGGATCGATCACCAAGGTACGATACCCAGAATGGCTAGCAAACCCGGTTGTTGTAAAGAAAAAGAACGGGAAGTTGCGCGTTTGCGTCGATTTCACGGACCTGGATAGGGCAACCCAAGACTATATACCAATTTATGAATCTCATAATAAGATTCAGCAGACACATTGTCTTCTAGCAAATACTCTTTAAACAAGTCTGCCCATGCATCCATACAATTTTCAGGTAGATTTTGATCGGTTTTAATACTCATCATTCTAGCAGCCAACGAAAATTTACACATACCTTCTCTACAACCACTGTAAATTGGCTCATTCGCAGCTTCTAACATTTCAAAAAACTTTTTTGCATCTAAGTTAGGTTATTCAACTTCATCATCATCATGAGTTACAAATGCATCACCTACCATATCATGAACCCTATCACAATCTACCATTTTTCCTCTTGGTGATGATAGCTATTTTCATTACGCAAATGATCAACCGGTTAAACCTGAAAATTGCTATTACTACTGCTACCTTCATTCCTACAACTAGCATCTTCTCCATGTTGATACCAAATATAATAATATGACATGAAACCTCTATTTATTAAATGCTTCCAAACATTTTCACGAGGGCCTAATTTTGTATTGCAGCATTTCCTACAAGGACAGAACATCTTACCACTTTCCTGCGTGAGTGGTGTAGAATCTTCTTGATGCATAAACGTCTCCAACCCTTCGAGATATTCTTCCGTCACTCTCCCGTTATTATCTCTGTGTGAATACATCCACTTCCGCAACTCGAAAATATTTCCCGGACTGGACATTTTTCCATCTTTGATCAAGCTTAAAGCTGATTTTTTTTGGTGTGTTTGAAATGAATCACAAATTGTGGTACTTATAGAAATTTTCGAATCTGAGCATTTACTAGGAAATTGCTAGGAAAAGTAGGTACAAAACATGTTTTAGATTTAAATTAGATATTTTCTATCAAGTTCCTCGCTAATTTGAAGTAAAAGATTATTTCCTCCTAATTTCGTAGTAAAGATTTAGTAGGACTTTACGAGGAAAGTATTTACTACGAGCTTACGAGGAAATGGTCTTTTGCCACGTAGTTTCCTCGTAAGTTTACTACAGTCTTACGAGGAAAACGTTTTCTCATAACTTTACGAGGACTAAACGAGGAAACTTGTTTTCCTTGTAAACCCGAAGTAATTTCGTAGTAAATTTACGAGGAATTATTTTCCTAGTAAAATTTCCTAGTAAATTCTTAGTTTTCTTGTAGTGGTTCTAAATCCATTACTAGCCTTATCAGACTAACCCGTGTAGGGGATGAATATTTTCTCCCTTCAATGTATCCAATGAAGATGGTAAGGTACCCGAGCCGCTTGCGATCATCCAGAGACCACCCTTCGCAACTTCGAACAATCTGTATGATACAAAATGTTATTCATTGCGGGGGCTCTTCCCCTAATGTATGTACCCTCCGGGGGAGTTCTGGAATATCCACTTTTTGTCTGCAAAACAATCAAAGACAACCATCTCAAACACAAAACCATCTAGTATAACATTTTAATTATATGTCTGGAAGACTTCCAGTAGAACATTTTAAAGCCGGCCTGAAAATTCGGAGAAGATATACTCGCCTTCGACACAACCGTTATAGATCTTCAAAAATAGATGTGAAAAAGAAGCGCGGTAAGAACGACGGTGAGAACGAGTATAGATACACCTTAAGTCATAAATTGATAGAGACAAAATTTTATGTTCATATTTTCCTCAATCAATCACTCGACAGTAAGAGATATAACTTACCGGCGGCGGAGTTCAATGAAACGCCTCTGAGAGAAATGGCGAGAGGGTTTACAGAGAACCAGCAGTGCGAACGAGACGCGAAACGGCGCTAGGGTTTACAGAAAAAATGGCGCTAGGGTTTTCTCTCAGATCTGAAATAGAGGAAGCGGTGGTGAGAACGGTGGAGAGATAACCGGCGGTGAGAACAATGGATTAGGGAGAATCGACGGAAATCATCTTCGAAGTCGCCTTTAAGAGAAACAACGTTAGGGTTTTCTAAATTTCGCGAAAAAATGAGTAAAAAAACACCTTATATATGTCCGATAAATAATCCGGTTAGGCTTAAAAGTACATTGGTAAAATAAAAGGTTCGGTCCAGTTTGGACGACTTATTAGTAAGTCGTCTGTTGAATTCTATACTTACTAGTAAGTCGTCTACCGTAAATATATTCACCAGATGACTTAATAGTAAGTCGTCCAAACCATAAACCCTAAACTAAATTAACTAACTAACCACGTTATAAAATCAAATTATACTTAAATAGTATTTACTATACATAGAAATAAACACTCTTAGGTAAATTTTAATTTTTTCAAAAAAACATTTATGCTTTCGAAAATCTAACTCTAAGAACACATACAATATTACAACATATGTTGGCAAAATCTAAACTAAAGAATATCATGACTCACTACTTTCACTCATCTATGTTGAAAACAATTAAAATTTTTTTATATCTTAATTCATATCTCTTAAAACATATGTTAGTTACATGATTTTAATTTTTCACTTATCAAAATATTTTTTAACAAATTTTTTAAATTATTTCTAAGAAGAACTATACTAGACGACGACTTACTTGAAAGTCGTCTGGACAGAATACTTACAGGGGTTAGAAACATAAAAACAATTGATTTTTTTGTTTGTTCACAAGGAACTGATTGTAATTTCTATAACCTTTTAGGTTAATTTTGCAATTGATTCAAGTTCGGGTTTACTTTTGCATTTGATTCAAGTTCGAGTTTAGTTTTGCATTTGAAATCAAGTTGTGAGTTATATTTGGCAATTTTCTCATTAATCAATACAAGATATACATTAGATTGTATCGAATTTGTATTTACGTATTTTGCCAAATATTACAAATCTACCTTTCAGAACAATAACATGTAGTCCTTCCAAAGGGTAATAAATAATTTTCTTGAATACATAGAGTTAATAGATCTTTCATTATTTTTTTAGAAATTTGATCTATTCATTTTGTTTTTATAGATGATACAAATAATTTAAAACTAAGCACTTTTATGATAACTGGGGCGGACAAACAAGATCGCCTTCTGACATGGTCGTGTGAGTTGTGATTGCTTTTGTCTTTAAATGTGTGTAAACATTATGTACTCAACCAAAATGTTAACTTATTTCAACAGACGATGGTCTACTTTCTTGGATTGCACTTAAAGCAATAAATATTCCCACAGTCCCCACAAAGACCCTGCCATGATGCAAGAGAGTGAAGAGGAACAAACCCATTACCAATGCGAACTGAGAGATATGATGACAAAACAAATCATATGTTTGCCGTTAAGGTGATGCTTTGATTTTAGTTTTGTATCAAGTTACATATACTACATTACCTTCAATAATTAATCAATACAGGATATACAATTGTATCGTACTTGATCGGATATAATTTTCTAAAGATTCATTACAAGTGTACCTTTCAGAACGATAACATGTACAACCTGAATGGATCTTGAAATTGTTTTTAGTCAAAAGCATTGTCATGAATTTTGAGTTACTCAAAAGCATTTCTGTAAAGTTCAATTTGAACTAATAATATAAACTATTAGTAACAAATTTTGACCTGATAACTTGATCCCACGACCAAATTACATCCGCCCCTGCATTGCATAGACCATCCCTAGGATAATGATTTTATTTCTTGAATACATATAGGTTGAATAGATTTTCCATGCTTTTGTAAGTTAGATCTATTTAACTTCTTTGAATAGATAATAGAAAGGCCCTAACAGAAATATTTAAACTAAGTTTTATGATCTATGATGCGGAGAATAACATCATCCCGCTTCTGACATTTGAGTTGTGATTGCTTTTGTTTTAATCGTGAGTAGACATTATGTACAAAACTAAAATGCTTACTAATTTCACAAGACAGTCTCTTCTCTTGTATTGCACTAAAACCAAAAGTAATTTGTAATGCCATGGTTGTACGAAACATAGCTTCTACTTCAAGTTTGTATTATTATCACTTCAGGAAGTAACAGTCGCTGAACCAACAGAAAATAAAATACACATACAAAAAAAACAGATAAGCACAAACACTGTTCATATTCGGAGTTCTAAAAGAATCCTGAATCATTCAACAAATTTGATTCTAATATTACAGAAACTATAGATGTTTGATCCAACAACGAAAGGAGCATAAACAAAATGAGATCGATCTATCGAACTTCCTTGTCGTCCTATTACAAAACTGTGCTTGTTGGTCCGAACTCGAAGATACAAGATAGATAGTTATGTCGGGATATACTTATTTAGATTTGGTTATGGATAACGACGGAGAGAGATTCTCGGCGACGGAATATCAACTGTGTAGCGATGAATGCTTCGATTGTTTTTTGAAACTCTTTGTTTGTCAGATTATCCTCCGGAAACGGCACTTCTTCGCACGACTCAACGGTTTCACGACACTTTTCTGTCTCCGATCGCCGGAGCGAAGATTTCGTCACCATCTCTGGACTCTGTTTAACTGAGGTTTCCGTTTTGCTTCTTCTATAAACTTTCGTCGGAGGAAGAGGATGATCCTTTTCTGAATCAGTTAGAGTACTCGAGTCCTTCTCCGACTCGGTTGTCACGTGACCATCACGCGCAACCGTTGGATTTGAATTTGAATTTAAATCGGTTTCCGTGTCGATCATCTTTTTGTCGTCGAAGACGATGGTCTCTCTCGTTAGATATCCGTCGCAAGAATTGACGCGATTCTCTCCGGATCTGATGAACGCATCGTAGATATTTGCCTCTGATCTGCCGGAGAAGACGGTGGATTTGGTAGTGAGAAGAGCGACGACGATGGAGTTTGTAAGGAAGAACATGAAGAGAGGAGTGGAAACGACGCAAGAGAGACGACGAAGGAAGTTTCCGGAGATTCGAACGGCGAAAGGAAGAGAAGTGAATATCCAACAGACGAAGAGAAGAGCGACGGAGATCTCCGCTATACGGAAGAGGAAACCAATGCTCTGAAAACGACGCAGCGCCTTGGCTTTCTCTGCTTTCACGTTGTCGTAATCGATGGAGTCCATTTGCTTGATCAAAAATTTGAGTGAGACAAGTATTGTTCAGAGAAGAAGTGGAAGAAGGCAGTGGACCCAAGGCTCTCCCCAAGCGTTTCTTTTTATAGACCTTTTTTTTGCTAAAATCTTTTTTTTTTTTATAACATTTGCTAAAATCTTTTATAAACTTTCTTTCTCCTTTAAACTTTTTAATTTAATTTTTGTCTTTCAAATAATTGTAATTATTTTATTTTTCAAATTATTTTTTCTGTCTAATTTCGATATAATAAAACACTAAAATGTTTTTGACAGATTTTTTTTTTGTGGTACGGCTTCAGTAAAAAAATAAAATAAAGAAGACTCATAATCTCTTGAACAAGTTGACAGGAAAAGCAAAATAAATGTTTGCAGGAGTTACAGCTGTTATTAACAAACCAGACTAAATATATAATAAAATAGATTGTTGGACCGGGCAAAAATGAAAAATGATGTAAGAAGGAGTCAGGTTTTAACGTGAGACGTATGGAATCCGTAACAACCGCTCTTTCACCACTGTAGATTGGTATCGCTTGTTCTTTTTTTAAACCAATATTTTTGATATTATTAGTTGGTTACTTTTCAGCAAATCATGATTCTTTCAAATATTATAAAGAAAGAGGATTGCTATTCTTCTTTACGGATCCTTAATTTAAGGACTGTGTTTATGTTACATGCAAATTGATCTGATTTCATATAAATACTGTTATACTAATTACCACGTGTGAATGAAACCAAAAACGAGGTTATTCAAATAAAGTAAAATAGTATGATGCTATGATTAGTTTAACCGTAATATGATGCTTATTTACATGGTTCCCAGAAAGATTCTACAGATAACTAAACTGCCATGAGTTGTCAAAAAGAAAAATTAAGCTGCCATGAATCACGTGTGTATAAAATAATGTACCTTGTATAATACTTTTTTTTTACCTTGTATAATACAAGTTCTACTGTAGAGATATCTACGGCCTTTCTCTAAAAGCCCATAGTCCAAACTCTTCTCTACGTTCAATTTTAAATTGATTTATGCCCAAAACCTATCTTCGAAATTCTTATTGGTTTCTAGGCCTGGCATCCGGTTCTTCGAGTCGGATCTCGTCGGGTCCAGATCATTTGGGTCCTGAAAATTTGAATCCATATAGGTACCTATAATTTTTCGGATCGATTCCAATTTAGGTCTTGTCGGGTCTATAATTTCAATATCCGTAAAATACCCATATATTTTGGATTCAGATCAGTTCGAAAAGGACCCAAATACCTAAAGTAAACCCGAAAACCCAAAAATTACTCGAAGAACCGCTGAAATACCCAAAAATTATCAAAAATTAGACTCGAAAACGCAAAAAATACACGAAATTTTACCAAATACCCGAATTATATTTTTTGAAAATCTAAAATTTTACCTGAAACCTAAAACTATACCCAAAAATCCAAACCCGAAATTTTGTAAAATACCCAAAATACAGAAAATATCCCCAAACATCTAAATATACCTTATATTTGCAATAATTTATGGTTACTACGGGTACCCGAATGAGTCTCAGGTAGGACCCGGACCCGATCCAAGACCCGCAGATCTAAATAAAAAGAACCCAACAAGTACTTTAGCGTGGACCCGAACCCGAACCTATATTTTTGGATCGGTTCCGGTTCGGGTCTTCGGGTCTGGGTAAAATACCCAGGCCTATTGGTTTCTATCATTTACTTATTTTAATTAGGGCATTCTTAATAGTGAATAATTTCCAAAAATTATTTCATTCAGTATATATTATTATTATTATTTACTATAATTTCAAAGTAAAAATAATCCATTCATATAATGGCACATGTTGATATATTTATAAATGATTTTTTGAGAATTTCTTGTTTGCAAAAATTACTCAAATTTTAATAGATTTTTTTTGTTATTGTGATTGTGAGAAATCTGATAAAATATTTTCGCTAAGGTGCTTTAGTTAACAGGAAAATACACATTCTTAGATGGATCTCACATATTTATCCATATACACTATAATGGAATTGAATTAGACTACAAAGATGCAAGTTCAAGGAACACACAAATTGTAAGTAGTCAAAAAATGTTGTTCGAATATATTCGCATCTAACACTTTAGTTTATATCTTTTCACCCTGTATTCCTGTACAACTAATTATATATAGCACGTTAGATTGTCATATAAAAATACCTAAAGTTTATTAACATGACTAACTGAATTGCATAACACATACACAAACAGACACATAATTAACAAAGAGAAACAGAGACACTATTTCCCTTGGTGGGCATGAATTAATATATTAGTTGAGGCCGAATTAATGTAAAGATATTCGGCTAAAGCATCCAAAGAATGCTTTGAGTCACTTCAATTTATAATAGAAGCTATAGATAAAAATGAAATAAATAGTTAGTGGATATAAAGATTGGTCGACCCATAGCTTTAGTTTTGATATTCCTTTAGTTTCTGCCCACAAGTTCCACTTACCTGCGTTTTTATTTGTTCATACGAACCGCACACCGGCACGCCTGACCCGCCTGGCACCAACTTTGTTCCTGAAAATATCACAAACCGTAGGATAAAACAAATTCTAGAAATCGAAACATTTTTAGTACTATAGAATATACAACATATGCAAATTCGTATACAATTAGTTCAACATTTTCAAAATATAGCGTTATTGTATAAATAAATAAAAAATCAATAAAAGGGGCAAGAATCAGTGATATGGTTTACTTGGTTGGAGTGATTGAATCTTTTTGACCACTACTCAAAATATATCGACACAGCAATACTGATTTCATTATAGCGCAGCGATGGAAACAACCTCATGATATTTTTTAAAGATTTGACATAAAGCGGCACCATGTTTTTTCATACATCTTAAAGTTTTTTTTTTCTAGTTTCTAAACTTGAACTAGGTCATCATCTCTGCCAAAACTGTACTTTCAAGATTGGGTTTGACAGATTGATAGACGCATCTTGATCTTGATTAAATATATTTTTCTCCAAAAACTATATGGGCACAGTTTTCATCTCGTATAATAAGACGCCGTGGCATGTGGCAATTGTTAACCATTGTATACCATTTTTCATCTTCTTTTATTTTATGGAATTATGTGAAAACTTGGATGAAACAAATGCAAATCTTTGGTGAATTCAAAATTTGATGCCACGAGGATTTTTTTTTTTTTTACACAGACTAGAACCGTATATACATGCATAGTTTAACAAATAATAATAGAGTTTCAAAATTTTGAAATGGAATGGAAAAAATACTAGAGGTTCTTATTGTAGCACAAATACAACTATATATGATTATTATATGTTGATGAATAGTAGAAAATAACTATTTTTATATAGAGTTTACTAATTTTAAGAGTTGAGATATATATTGTTGAGCCTGTAAAAGACTAAAATATTTTGTATGTTTAAAAGACATGGAAATATTAATTTTAAAAAATTAGAAGATATATATATATATATATATATATAATATTTTGAATTTTATTTAGTTATTTAGATTGTTTAGAACTAAGTTTCAATTAATTCTAATAGTATTAGATTTTTTTTATGAAATTTCAAATTTATTGATCAATCAAATAATGTCATTTACAATAATAGGTTAGCTAGAACTAAAAAAATATATCAGTAAAAGACTAAACAAAATTAAAACCTCTGTATTAGTAAGTGTTTGTAAATTCCTAATCAAAAACTTTAAACCATCTTCTAAGGAAATCATTAAACTTGTGGCTCTCTTTGTAACCAAGGGAGGTAATCATGTTCTTGATTTCTCTATTGGTTGTTTTAACCATTTGCTATGTTTGTTAATGACCTTGCTGATGTCTTCGTGTATTTTGTTCTCGCCAGACATGGTACACTACAGCCTGGAATACCAATCAGATGAGTATGAGATTCAACTTATCGGGCGTGCCTATTTGAATGAAGCTTAGCATGTCCTGCCAGTCCGGGTTGATCATCCTACCAATCTGCTAGCTAGATGGTTCCGAACAATATAAGAGTATAGACACGCGAAGAACAAATTATCTCGAGTAATATCAAATATCTTGCCTATACGCAACCAATCATCATGCCGGAAGAAAGCCTGATTACCATTCCCCACTTCGAGACCCGAATGAACTGATAAGCCAAGTCTCTCATATTAAGGAGTTTCCTCCAAATCCAAGAGCTCATAGTATCATCTTGAACACCCCAAAATGAGCTGTGCCAAAGAAGATAGTGCTGAATCCATGAATCCCAAAGCGATTTAGACTCAGTGAATAGTCTCCAGATCAGTTTCAACGCAAAAAATCTAACCGAATCACGGAGCCTCCTGATGCACAGACCCTTTCTGATTTAGGATAACATAGGTCATCCCACTTCACTTTAGCTTTATGTGACTGATTAGGAGAACCAGACCACAAGAAAACACTGCATAAACTCTCGATAGCATCCAAACAACCCATGGGTAAAATAAAAGTAGAACTCCAGAAATTCACAATGGTAGAAACAACTAATTTGATCAGCTGTAGCGACCTGCAAAAGAGAGAGTCTTGTTGATCCAAGATAACATGCGAGTTCTGATCTTGTCTATGAGCGACTCGTAGTCTAGTTTGGTCAATGCATTGGTAGTTAACGACTACCCCAAGTAGTGAATAGGTAAGCTGCCTACTGCAATCCCTAAATTGGCTGCTTCATCAAATACAGTTGAGGTGCCAGGCCCTGAAGCGTACATGGATGAATTCAAAGCATTAATATGCAATCCTGACATGACATCAAAATTCTTCATGAAACCCAAAGCGATGTAGACTCAGTGAATAGTCTCCAGATCAGTTTCAACGCAAAAAATCTAACCGAATCACGGAGCCTCCTGATGCCCAGACCCCTTCTGATTTAGGATAACAGAGGTCATCCCACTTCACTTTAGCTTCATGTGATTGATTAGGAGAACCATACCACAAGAAAACACTGCATAAACTCTCGATAGCATCCAAAC